TTTGAAAGATCCTGAAGCCAGTGTTTTATCCACCCCAAATCCTTTTAGTTAGGTCCATGATCACCAATGTCCACGTAGTTTGGGTCAATGAGAAATCAGTTTTTGGAGGAGAAACCTGTAACCCCCAGATGTGCTCCATCCCAAATGTGGATGCCTGTCAGGGGGATGCCCTGTGACAGACCACCATAGCAGCTCAGCTCCAGGGACATCGTTCTCAGCCCCACAACCAAGCCTTTTGCATGGTGCCCATCAGGGAAGCACCCATCTGCAACAGGCTTTGGTGCATGGTCTCCTTCCCTGTGTCCCACAGGGCATCTGTCCAAGAGATGCAGAAAGACCATGAGGAACAGCTCCAGCATCTGAGGCAACTGAAAGACCAAGAGATTGATGCAGTGACCAGCGCTACTTCACACACCAGGTACCAGCGGCCAGTGTTGTATCCCCACATTGGTCCCTGTGCTACAGAGTACCAGCTTTGGAGCATGGGAGTGGAGGTCTTCCTCTCTCCCACCTGCTGCTTCCGAGGATGCTGATCTCTTTTGTATCTGTCCATACCCCTCTCTGCTGTGACCTAGATATGTTCAGGGCAGGTGTCATCATTTAGATACTGTTCTATCATGCAATGAGTCCTCCCCACCCAGGAAAAGGAAATCGTGGGTTAAAATAGAAACCTACTTAATAAAATAATAAGAACCAGTATTAATAAGAGCATTAATACAAAAGACACAGACTTACACTCAGCCTATATGGTGGTTATAACAAGTAGGGGAGCAGGCTTCAGAAGCAGAACAATAAGCGAGACCCTCCAGGGATACTGACCATTGAGGAAAGAGGGCTGTCCCCAGCAAAATTCCCAGTTTATAATGAGCATGACGTTTATGGTATGGAGTAATTCTGTTGGCCAGCTTAGGTCCACTGCCCTGGCTTTCACTTCCCCCAGCTTCTGCACCTGGCCAACTTGAAATTGCTAAAGACCTTGATCACTGCATACCAGCGTTGGCCAAAAACTACAGTGAAGTGTGTTATCACAATTACTCCCATAAAATCAAGTACTGCAGTCTTCTCAGAAATGCAGCTTTACTGAAGAGCAAATTGATTCTATGATTCTGTCCCAGCAAAACCAGGACGGCTGAGCTGCCTGGCCTTTGGCCCACCACATACCTCCCTCTCCATCATGGTGAGATGAACTGTGTCCCACAGGGGTGACCCTCCCCTTGCTCCTCTCCGCAGGTCTCTGAATGGCGTCATCGAGCAGATGGAGAAGTTCTCCAGTGACCTGCACGACCTCTCGCACAAGGTGGAGGCCACGCACCACACCACCTCCCAGGAGCTGGCCATGGGGGCACAGCAACGGGACAAGCAGCTCAAGGGTACGTCTTCCTTGTTGCATTAAGAGTATGAGTTGGCTGGCGGTGGAAAGCCTTCTCGTTGAGAGGTTCAGAGTGGCCCCTCTTGCTTTCTAATCTCCTTCTCAGAGAGGCGTCTTGGTGTGGCTGAATCCACTCCTAGTCCCAGACGTGGTCAGTGGTTTACGTCTGAGGGATGACGTGTGCAGCCACTTGTCAGAGTCGGCATTTGCCTGTTGGAGCCCCCTCCGGGACTTTCACAGAAACAGTTTTGCAAAGTTGAAGCAGATAGATAATTTATGAAGGCAAGAGATAATAATATTTAGATTTGGAATTGCCAGCAATAACTGCACTGTCTTACATGAGTATGTACATCATCCCAAAATATAAATGTGTATCTCTGTAACGTTAACTACCATTGTTCATGCACGTACTAGAACAAGCCAGCATAGAGGAATATTTTAACGCTATAGTTAATTATTGTGATTGTCACCAAGAAGGCGTCCCTGTGTGGGGAGGAGAGAGGTCCAAGCCCATCGACCCCTCCTGTAGTGGAGTTCTTGCCTTCCTCCAAGTGGCACAGAGTTTGGTACAGAGGCAATTAAAGATGGTGTGCTTAGCTTCACCAGAGGAACATCAGGCTGTGAGGCCTCCCCCTCAGCCCAGGTGTCACTCAGTTGATTCAGTGCTGGACTGCCAGGCACCAAGATGAACAAGTAGCTCAGGTCTTGCCTTTCATAAGGTCCAGTCCAGTGCACAAGATAGACACAGGGCTCAGCCTCTGCTTTTGTTATTCTGTACCCAACACCCACAAGCCTTGTCCCTCACATTCCACATTGCTCTGGACCAAAACAGCTGCAGGGTCCCTGCAAGGGCTGGGAACACCAAGAAAACAGGGAAAAGTTGCTCCGAGTCAGCCAGAGCTGGGAGCTGAGGCTGGCAAAGCCTTGCCTGCCGTGGTCACTGGACATCTCAGGGTGTCCCCTTTACAAAGCAGTGTCCTGGGAACGTGCAGAAAGTGATGAGCACAAACACGCGCAGTTGTTCTGTGAACGTGATGTGAACAGAGGGGAGTTCCCACCACGTGCTGCTCATGGCCCTGCTGCTGCCTCTCCCCAGTGCTCCAGGACAGGCTGTCACAGCAGCAGAGGGACATGGAGGAGGAGCGCAGCCGACTCCAGGAGGTGATTGCTAAAATGGAGGCAAGGCTGGGCGAGCAGACTCGGCTGCTGGAGCAGGTGAGGCCACGCTGTGCCCTCTACCCGGGTCAGCCCTCTGTCTGGGAATGGGGTGTACATCTTGCCCACTGGAGTTTCCTGTCTCTGCTGTGTCTGGACCCAGGAACGATGGAGGGCGACGATGGAGCAGTCCAAGGTGGAGTCACTGCAGCACTCACTGGAGGAGCAGCGGCGAGTCGTGACCCAGCAGTTGTCCATGGAGCGAGCAGAGCTGGAGAGGGCAAAGGTGAGGCGGGGTAGACATCTCCAGGTGCTTTTCACATGTCCCATGAGTCCAACCGGGGCTGCACTGCAGTTTCTGGTGGAGAAAAGAGCTGGGTGCTGGGCTGCAGCATCTTTCTTCTGCCTCCTCGGTTACACACCTGGTCTTGTGGTGAATCGTAATCATACCAGTCCTCTAGTACATGGATGCAAGAGGCTGCTGTGTGGGTGCATGATGCATGCTGGTTCTCAAGAAGCGTGTGGCCAGAGCTCTCCATGCACATCAGGCACCATGAGCTTGAACCAGCCTCTAGATGTTGTGTGGGGTTCAGTGGCAGAGGTGGGTTAAAGGAGAAAAACCCTACAGTGAATGGGACTTGGTGGTTTCTCTTTCCTTCTCCTGCGATGCTCTCCAGAGCGCTTTGCTGGAGGAGCAGAAGTCGGTTCTGCAGAAGTGTTCAGAGGAGCGACGGAAGCTGGCAGTTGAGTGGACTGAATTTCACACCCGGCAGCAGCTGAGCAAGAAGCAGATTGAGTGTGAGATCGACCGAGCCCTGAAGATGGACTCCCAGAGAGAGGGCACCATCATGAGTCTGGCCAAGGTACCACAGCAGACCCCCATCCTGTGGCCTCCAGCACCACCTGGCAGGCTCAGGGATGGGTCCTGCCTTCAGAGGAGATGTTCAGAGTTGCCTTCAGGTGTCTGAGACATGAAGTCACTCGGGGTGTTGAGAGTCAGGCTGTTAAAAGAACAGCCCAGCCTGGTTTAGATGCTGACTGAAGCATCAGTCATCTCTGTCTCTCCCCTTCATCTGTGGCGTGTCTGGGCAGCCAAACCAGGTGCAGCCACCTCCATTGTAAGTCTGGTAAGAGGAAACCCCCATGGTGGGTTAGACAAAAGCTCCCTGTGCCATGAGGATGTGTCCAGAACCAGTTCTGCTCCCACCTGGGACTGTCTAGTGGGGATATGTGGCACACACAGTGCAGCAGAGCTGCATTTTTAAGGCTACCAGGGTGGAAAATAACAATTTGGGCTGCACATTTCCATTGCTGACAAACGGTCATGGCTTGAGCATGTTTTAGGGTGTGCAACATGGTGAGGGACTCACTTTCTGGAGAAGGTGTCTGTACAGTCCCAGCTCTGCCAGCCTTGGTCCCCAAGGTTGAGATGATGATGTCCCAACAAGTACCTGGTTGTGTTGCTCTGCACCTCTAGCTGACACGCATGAGAAGCTCAACAGGGGCAGATCTCTCCTATTGCTTGGGAAGACATGAGACGGTGTCCAGGACAGGGCAGATAATGCATCAGTTTCCCCCATGCCCATCCTAGGAGCAGGCAGAGATGAAGATACGAGGCTACGAGCTGAAAGCCAAGGAGGAGCAGCTGGCAAGGGACAGGCAGCTGCTGGATGAGGCCTGGCAGGAGCTGAGGCTGCAGAAGGAGAAGGTGAAGAGGGCCACACTCTGCATTGAGCAGCAGCAGGAGGAGGTTAAAATCATGACCAAGGTAAGCGGAGCATCTGTGCTGCAGTTGACAGCTGTACAGGAGCCAGCAGCAAAGCTTCAGACCCCTTCTAAAGTCATGAATCCTAATCCTGTCGCCAGCTTTTCCAGCTGCTCTGCCTTGCAGCTCTCGTCCCAGAAGTACGAGGAAGGGGAGCATGCCCTGCAGGAGGCACGCAGGATGGAGTCTGAGCAGCAGACCAGGCTGCAGGTCATGCAGCAGCACCTGGAAAAGCTGAAGCAGCAGGAACAGCGTCTGCACGAGGCAAATACCTCATCACCTTTCCTTCTTGGCCTGTGGGCAGCAGTGTGCCAAGGGCCTGAACCTTTGCCAACAGCTTCTCTCTCTGCCTTTCTCCTGGGGATGGGACAGGACCGGCTGAGCATGGCTCACCAGAGGAGCCAGCTCGAACAGCTACGTGAGGAGCTGCCCAGGAATCCCATGATGCTGCTGACCACAGAGCGGGACGTCAGTGCCCCTATGAAAGGTCTCTCCAGCCCGCTGTGTAAGGCTTCCTGCATGCTGCTGATGGGAAGGGACATGCTGGGGGGCAGCTGTACTTGTATTCCTCTTCTCTGGAGACTTGGGATGTCCCTGGGGGCTGTTATGGTTCCCTTCTGTATAAAACGCAAATGTGAGCTGGCCGCCTCTGAAGGAGCTCAGTGGAGCTTTCTGAGCCAGGGCAGTGCCAGCAGGGGAGTAGAGGAGGCAGGAAGGGAGAGGCAGGTGTGTTAATGCCCATTTGCAGTAGGAGGTTGTGGAGGACCCTGCTGCAGGGACATGCAGGCAGCAAATCCAGGAATTCTCTGTTGTCTGCAGTTTCTCTTCCAGGCTTTCCACCTCCTGTCAGAGCACTCCCTCGGCACAGCCCAAGGGGTAGCAGAGAAGCCCTGGCCATGGCCGGCTCCACTGAGCTCCATGCCCAGCTGCTGCTGCTGAAGCTCAGGGCCCAGCAGGTGAGGTGGTAGTGGTCCAGGACTGGAAGGGGCTTTGAACCAGCTGAGTGGGAGCAGGGCTGGGTGAAACCTGATTTGGGCTTGACAGCCACAAGCTGGGGTGTCTCCTAAGGTCATTACTGAGCTGCAGGGCTGGGTGGGCTTGCAGAAGGCTGGGGCCCCTAGAGGAGTAATAGCAGAAGCAGGGACCCGTGGATCCTTACAGCTTGTCTCAGGCTCACTGATAATGTCTTTGGCTCAATGGGAGAAGCCAGCTCTGCTGGACTCTGGCTCCGTGATGTCCCCATCCTCTCCCATCAGCCCCCTGCTTCCTTGCTGGGTCCTTCTCCAGGCGGGGATGCTCTTTGAGGCTTCCTCTGTGGGTCTCACTCAAGAGTGTGAGGTTCGGGGCTCTGGGGAGGAGCCCATATGCCCCAGGGGATACAACAGATGAGTACCTGCCCACTGCATGAAGGAGGGTTTGGGCTACTTCCCTGACTCGTGAGCGAGTCACACCCTGGACTGTGGCCCTGTTTCTGTGGCACTCCCTGATGTCCATCCCATCCATCCCTCTCTTCTCAGGACCACGATTTCTTAGAGGATGAGGATTTCTTCCTGGAGTCCCTGAAGAAAGCCCCCTACAACACCTGTCCATCCTCACAGAAGGCTGCTGTGCCCTCCACATGGGGGAGGAAAACAAACAATAAATAGTCCCATTTCTCAGCTGAGGAGCTGTCCTTCTCTTTAAAAAACAATCTCAGAGGGTTCAGAGTGTGCAGTCCATCCCCACAGACTCTGAAGACACAGTTGGTCAGACCCCCATCCCTCAAGGCACGTGCCAGTGGACACCAGGCCGGCACTGCTGGGAGGCATTTGCCCTGGTGGAGGTGGATTTAGTCAGCCATGCTGTTGTCCCTAAATGAGGGTTCTTCACCTAGTGTGCAAAAGCCAATCAACCACACTGAGTCAAGATACTTGTTTTTATTTCTGTTCTGTACAGAAATGGGTGCCAGGCAGCTAACACAGCCAGCACACCTCTGGGAAAGGCAGGCGATCTTATATAGGAAATAGCAGCAAGGAAGAATCTGTAGTAAAATACCTGATTGGTGACCTACGTTTGTATCATAGAAATTGTTCTGTGCATGTCTAAACATCTGTCCAGCTCATTATACTAAGGTGGTCCTACATTTAAGAGTGTGGTTTTTAGTAGTATAATTCTCTAAAGGTAATTAAAGGTCCATCCCATCAGCTCCCACTAAGTAACTGTTTAATCCTTTATCCTGCTGTGGTTCCTGTTTGAACCATAGCTAGCCTCCAGGCAGAGGTTTGCAGACATTAGGTTTAGAGACTTCTCATTCTTCTTTCAGGATTTTCAGACAGACAGTCAAGGTTGCCCAATTTGCAAATTTTTATACTTTTTACATCAAATCCCCCCTTTGAGACTTATGGATAACGTTTGTACTTTTCCCATCAGTCTCATGTTGTGATTTTCGTAACAAATTCTTTCCTGATTCTTGGTCTTCTACTAATTGAGAATTAGCTGTTTAATTAAAGCAGCCCATTTCCTTAAACTCTTCCCACCCATGATTATGGCTCAAAAGCAGATAGTCAACTGCAACTCTATTTTCTAAAGTAGCTTCCCATACTTCACCCATTTCTTCACCATTCCATTTCTTCACCCAAATCTGCTCCAACTTGGGAGGTATAAAATCACATTTTCCACCCATGCACATGCAATTCTTTTTGTTGTGTGATACTTCATGGATAATCCTAAATCTGGTGCTAGAACTGCTGCAGTTGTCATTTCACTTGGCCTCCAAAGTTACTTGAGAATCTCAGTTCTGTGGTAGAACATGAGTCTGTTTTTTCTGTCTTTTGCCGCCTTCTGTTTGAAAATCCTTTTTATGAGGGAATAATGGAATTGATCTTCCCCTAGAACAAGGTCCTTCAGTGATATTGGCAGGAATGTAGGTATAAGAAACCATTCTAAGGGAAGCTTAGTATGTGCCCGTGCATAAATTGCTGACTCTGTCTTACTACATTTTTTAAGTGAGAGGGGGTATCAAAGTGTGATAATTTTTTGCATTTTGTGGGTAGGATACAGATCACAAATTGTACACAATTCTGCAGGAAACATCCCTTTCACTTTGACTCTAAGCATTCTTCTACCTCTTGTTTTAGTAGTATTTCCTGCGAGTTGCAGTAAATTGTGTTACCATGACACTCATATTCCCTGACCAATTCATTCCTTGTCTACTGGGGCATTCATTTTTCCAGTGCCCTTCCTGTCTACAAATGGCACATTGATTTAGACCCAAAGGAGGGCCTCTTCGTGCTCCAGGACTTCTCCCTCGCCCTCCATGACTTCCCCTTCTCCATCTGCTCACCTCACCTCTTCTGTCTGAAACTGCTGCGGCTAGAAGAGAAGCCTACATTTTCATTCTTGCTTGTTCCTCCTCCTTTTTCTTTTCCTCTCTGTTATCATACACCTTATAAGCAATTCCAATTAACAGAGAGATAGACATCCATCCTGATTCATCTAATGCTTTCTGCAACTCTTATATCGTGGGATGAATGGTGTACAAACATCATGCTGAACACACCTCCGTGTGCCTCGTTTTCTGGATTTCAATCAGTCCACTTTTTAGCTGCCTCACATAATCTCTCATAGAAAGCCAACAGACTTTCATCATGTTCTTGTCTAACTTGATCTAGTTTAGACAGATCTTTACGTTTAGGGACTGCATGCTGTATCCCATGTAGTATCAGCTGCTGGTACTGTTTCAGTTTAATTTTTCCAAATGAAGTATTCAGATCCCATTCTGGATCTTCTCTCAAAGGCAAATATTGACTAGGATCCTCTTGCCAATTTGTTTGCTCTCCCGTTTCTTTCGCCTTATCTAGCACCATTTTTCTCTCCTCTGCGGTGGAAAAGATCATCAGTAGAATCTGCATGTCCCTCCAGTTCAGGTTGTGGGTCAGCACAATAGTCTCTAAAAGCTGATACATTCCTGTAGGGTTCTCTCGGTGTGAACCAACAGACTGTTTCCAGTTTACCAGGTCAGTAGTGGTGAGTGGGACACATACAAAAACTGAAGGTCTGCTTCTGCCACTTGTCTCAAGAGTGCCTTCATCACTGCCTGGGACTGTCCCTGAGTGCTTCTCACAGTAATGCTGCAGTTTTCATCTCCTGTGTTCTTTTCCCTTTTCTGTCTCCTGGTCTTTGTCTGCTCCTGTCCCACTGTTACACAGGGGTGGGGAAGAGGGAACTGGTACCTTCACACTCTCCTGCTCATACCCTCTGCAACATGTACGCCCTTGCTTTTTCTTCTCTTCACCACATGGTATTAATAAATCTCCCAATCCATACTTTTTCTGAATATTTGGATTTCTATACAAAGTCATAAAACCATCAACTTATGGAACTTCATCCCATTTCCCAAAAAATTCACAAAATTGCCTTAATTGCATTATAATATTAAATTGTAGAGACCCATTCATAGGCCACGTTCTTCTACTATCCAAATTACGATTTGGCCACCTCTGATTACAGTATTTTTTCATTTTCCCCTGAGTCATCCACTCACTGCTGAACTCATTCCAGTTCTCTAAAATACAGCCCAAAGGGCTATGGGGAGGAATTGTGCATTGGTTTGATCCCATGGTAGTGTATTCCACTTACACCCAATCCAAGATTTTCCTTCTGCGCACTCAGCTCTGACTCGATTTGCCAGCAAAGGGAACGTTTTTCCCTGCTACCAAGCGTCTATGTGCGACTTGGTAATTTCCCACGGAAATAATTAAATGGGCTACTCACCAAGCCAGGAGTTCGCCCCCCTTTTGCACAAATATCTCTCCCGGGTGTTGCACCGTTGAGTCGCCCACTGCTCCGATGCCGGAGGGGATCCGGTCGGTGTGTGCCGGAGTCCTGCCCACAATGCCAAGGTGAGGTGGGCAAGACCTTATGGCTGTCCCATCTGGGTTGCCAGAACTGTTGTCCCAAATCTGGGTTCTTCGCCCAGTGTGCAAAAGCCAGTCAGCCACACTGAGCTGAGCTATTTGCTTTTATTTGAGTTCTGCACAGAAAAGGGTGCCAGGCAGGCATCTAACGCAGCCAACACACCTCTGGGAAGCGCGGGTGGTCTTATATATGACATGGGACACAAAATTTACAGCAAAAGACCTGATTGGAGACCTACAGTTACATCACAGAAACCCTTCTGCCGGCCTCTCTCCAGCTCATTATACTAAGGTGGTCCTGCATTTACATGTGAAGTCTCTTCCTGAAGGTGTGGTTTTTAGTGTTATAGTTATCTAAGGTAACTAGAGGTAACTAATCTTCACTCTATCAGCTCCCACTCAATTACTCTTTAATCTTATATCCTGCTGTGGAGCCTGCTTGTAGACAGTAGTTGTTACAGATCCTGCTTGTGGACAATAGTTAAAACAAAGTAGGGTCCTATTACACACGAATTTGGGCACTTTCTGTTGCTTTGCTACGGTTTGAAATAAGACCACCACGGTTGCTCGATTTGCAGATCTTTATATTTCCGTGCTGCCCGCTCTCAGACAGGCAGCTGCCTGCTGCGGGGCTGTGAAACCTAAGGCATTGGGGGTTTACACTGTTGTTGTGGTTTGTACAGTTGCATCACCCATTGTCTCCTCTGCACCCAAAGAGGGGGGTCAGGAAAAGGAAAGGAGATTCATGGAGAACTTTTTATCCTAGTTTCCTGACCTCAGTATCCCTCTCCCTTTCCTCCCTGGCTGATGTACTCAGAAGGTCCAGACTTCCCAAAGCACCTATTACATGTTTCTCCTTAATAAGTACCCCCTCCCATTACATACATCGCATGTATCATTAACTTGTAATTTATGCTGCCCAGGGTGGAGAAGTTAATGTTCATAAACCTACTAAGCATGTGCAATTAACTTGAAAGTTCACAAGTTTACATTGCTTTCAACTTCTGTGGTTTCAACTGGTTTCAGTCAACTCTCACGGTTACCTGAAGTTCTGATTGGTTCTTTTAAGCTATATTGCTCCATAGTACTGTTTTGCAAAAGCTGAGGTTTCAACGGGTTTCAGTAAGCTATACTGAACAAGCTCTAGTAATGGTTGATGGTTACATATGGACAAGGCGAAGTTGATTCTGACTGTTCCTCTCTAATCTCTTGTCACCATATGCTGGTTTTTGTGATGCCTTTGAGGCATATCCCTATTTTGTAAAGACATCTTTTCTGTGGTCATATCAATGAGTTGAAATAGAAATAGATTTAATGAAATAATAATACTAAAAACTAATATTAATAACAGTATTAATATAAAATACGCTGAGTTATACTCAGCCAGTATTGTGGGGGAGTAGGGCTTAGGGATAAGACAGTAGACAAGTCCCTCTTGAAATGGAAGAAAGGAAGAAGAAGGACCATGCCCAGCAAACTCCCTCATTTATAGTGAGTGTGACATTTATGGTATAAAATAATCCTAACTGGTCAGCCTGGAGCCAGCTGGGGGTCAACTGTCCTAGGTTTCCGCTCTCCCTCCTGTTTATCTCAAGACCATCATATCAAAATGATAACAAAGTGTCTTATTGTTACAGATATAGGAGAAATAAATGTGACCCGCAGAAAGAAGACTCCACAACCTGTGAGGTTGTAAAGTAGATATGTTTATTAAGGTGCGCTGGCACACGGGGGAATCTTTTCCTCCTAATTCGTGTGCGCCTTCTGTGGCAGCTTGTCTTAGCCTTTATACAGTAAAGTGTTGCATATTCATTACTATGCAAAAACGTCTGTACATATTCATAGCCTTTCCCCAAAAAGGCGGTCTTTTTCTGAGAAGTCCGGTCACACCTGCGCAGTGCCTCCTGGTGGTCGTGGGCCGGGGTCTCGGAGAGTCCTTTTCCCTACTAAGCTCTTCACCTTTGTTCCTTGTGCATGCTCCCTGGACCCTTGGCATTTCTCCCACAGCCGGCTGGAATGTTGTTGTTATCAGAAGCCGTAAGAGCTTCAGGCAGGACATCCTTGGCCTTATCAGGAACTGTCTGTAGCCTACCTCCCTTTACACAGTGACCTAAGATCTATTGCTTCAGCTAAATAATTGCTATCCTGTTAGCTCTTAAGCGTTATTCCCCCAAGCTGTGTTAGCCCCAAGCTATAATTTTCTTTATAAGTGTTACAGTTCTCTCTATCAAATGTTAGAATCTCTTTTAGAAATGTTAAAGCTGCTAATGAACCTATGCATAGCCCAGGCCCTATTTTAGTTACTGTTTGTTTTATCCACTGAAAAGTATATCCACTAAAAGTATATCTATCTAAAAGTGTATCTAACAAAAGTACATCTACTAAAGGTATAACCAAACAACCAAGCAACCAAGCCAGTGATCACCAGCAATGCCCCATTCTCTAAAGTGAATCAAGAATGAAAAGTTTATTGCTTTAAAGTTTACTGGAGCCTTAAACTTTTGTTATGTGAAACAGGCCCCTCAGCTTTTCTAGCCAAGTGTTTGACCCAAGGACGTTGGAGGGTGTCTCTCTTTTAAGTCTGGGGTCTGTGGGTGGCTACAGAGCCACCCCAGACCCAATTTCTGTCAACACTGTGCATGATTGGGAACAGGAGGAGTTATTTTAATTAGCAACGGGAAATTTCATGCATATGCATGTATGTATCCTTTATAATGTGTAAACTCACCAGGCAAGGTGTGCATTGTTGGTGAAACTATTCCTCTTTGCACCCAGCCATAATAAAGAAGCATCTGCTTATGTGCATCACATTGGTGGTCTTTTCATCCTGGCTTTTTGGTGACATTATCACTTTGTTCCCATGAAAAAGAGTATTGTAGTCCTCACAAAATTGCAATTTCCCTGAACATAAAAACCTGACTAAAATTCTGTCCCAGTAAACCAGGATGGGGGAGGGGTGGGTCGCAGAGGTTTGGCCAAGCTGCAAGGCTGGGTGGTGGTATCAGAAAAGGGCAGAGCACCCTGAGGAGCTTATCGACCTCATCCTTGGTGTCCAAGACAGGTCAGAATTACCTATGAAGACGGTGTTTTCTTAGCTTATCTTAGACAAAAGGGAGCTGAAGGAAAGATGCAAGCCATTAACACCTTTAACCTTGAGTGTTAATCACAAGGAGTAGAACAGAGATTAGAAAGAGCTGACTAATTGAATTTATTGCAAATGTACCTCATTAGCATGCTAAAATACCCACATTTAGACTAGGAAGACCCCGACTCATGAAACCCCTTACCCTTTGAGCATGGATGATAAAAACCAGAACCACTACCACTTTAAATGGAAGTGAAGAGTTAGTTTGCAAACCACACAGGTACATGTAGAGATAAGGGAGTTTTGCAAATTTTGGTGTGTAAAAGTACTTCTGTGTCTCATGGAAGGGGCGCTAGTGTTGTAGAGTTACCACCCAGCACCCATCTCTGCACAGAATTGCAAGAAAACAAATAATCTCCGCGCTGGGGTTTTTTTCACCGGGTAAAACAATGCTTATTTTTTGGGACAACACCTCGGAGCTGTGCTGAGGTTCCCCAGCACCCGAGGATGGGCCGCAGTTCACAGGCAACTCCAGCTTTTCCTTTTTTGGCCTTTTCCTGAAGAAACCTGGCTGCTGTCTAGTTTCGAGACAGGCGCTGCGGAGGCAGCCCCGTTGCTGCGGCAGCGGGGGCTTTCTAAGCCAGGCCTTGCGCGGCGCAGCCCCTGTCGTTGTGGTAACGGGGGCCTTCCCTGAAGGCGGTGTGCAGCATGGCGGCGCCCTTACTGAGCGCGGCGCTGTGCGGCGTCCGGGGCGGGCGGGCCTTCAGCACGGCCGGTGAGACGCGGGCCGGGAAGCCCCGGTTCCCCGGCGGGTGGGCAGTGGAAG